TGTATAACGCTGCAAAGTTTTTTTATTATGATTTTGAAACCTTTAGCTGGAAATTCAAAATACTCATAAGACACTCACAACAGTTTGTTGCGATTACTAGGGACAAAGAGGTTAATAATGATGACATTCTTATTAGTTTTGATGTGGTATCCCTGTTCACGAGAATTCCTCTCTCTGATGCAATAAATATATTATAGACGATTTACTACATAAGGATGTCTCACTCTCTAACAGAACACTAATCTAAGTTAAAAATATTATCAAACATCTAGAATTAGGCTTAGAATCCAGCTATTTTCTCTGGAACTATAAGTACCTCAAAATGAAGGATGGTACTCCGATGTGCTCTCCTCTTTCTCTTGTTTTTGTTGAAAATTATATGCAACATTTTGAAACTACGGCCATTTTATCTTCCTCAACTTTGGCTTCGATACGTTGATGATATTTTTGTGTTATGGGAACACGACACACGAAGTTTGTACGAGTTTTTATTGTACCTAAATAATCAACATGCTTCTATAAAATTTATCTTAGAAGTAGAGACAAGTAACCCTTTACCTTTTCTGGATGTAGCAACCCATACAAACAAATATCTTAACTTCAAATCCTGTCACCCCTTATCTGTTAAAAACAGTATCATTAAAACCTTAGCATGCAGAGCATGTAGAATATGCAGCAACAAATACGTAGAAACCGAATTTCTACAGCATTAACAGACTTTTATTAATAATAACTATCACAAACAAGTGGTAAAAAACCGTACAAAAAACTCTTCAATGAGGAATATAAACATAGGATGGTGATGCTCTACTTTCCAAGACTTGGAGGAAAAAACGAATACCTTTAACATTCAAACTGTGTTCAAGAGAACGACTAACCTACGTAATATTTTAACTAAAGTTAAGTCCATGCAAACAAAAAACAACAAAAACAACGTTGTCTACAATGTATCACGTGAATGTAGAAATTAATACATCAGAGAGACCAAACGACCTGTTAACATTAGGAAGAAAGAACATCAAAGAGACATCGCACATGCATCTGTAGATACTTCAACCATTGTATTACACACTAGAGAGAAACATCCTGTTAACATTAGGATGAAAGAACACCAGAGAGACATCACACTTGCTTCTGTAGATACTTCAACCATTGTATTACACACTAGAGAGAAACATCCTGTTAACATTAGGATGAAAGAACACCAGAGAGACATCACACTTGCTTCTGTAGATACTTCAACCATTGTATTACACACTAGAGAGAAACATCCTGTTAACATTAGGAATGAAAGAACATCAAAGAGACATCGCACATGCTTCTGTAGATATTTCAAACCTTGTATTACACACTAGAGAGAAACATCCTGTCAACATTAGAATGAAAGAACATCAAAGAGACATCGCACATGCTTCTGTAGATACTTCAACCATTGTATTACACACTAGAGAGAAACATCCTGTTAACATTAGGATGAAAGAACATCAAAGAGACATCGCACATGCTTCTGTAGATACTTCAACCATTGTATTACACGCTAGAGAGAACAACCAAAACGCTGATCTCATTAATTTAAAAATAATTGCCATGGGCTATAATATCAAAAAAGAGAAAAATTTAAAAAGTCATTGCAATAGCAGCCCGTGATCATGGTCCTCCTACAGGCATTAACCAAAATCATAGATTCTCCCTTTATAGTCGCTGGTTACCTTTTTAAAGAAATCAAACTCATTCATTGACTCTAATGCTGTTAATAAAGTAACCTAAAAATTGTATTTGTTTTCTTCATTTTGTTGATATTACTTAATTTATTTATTTTTACTGTTGATTATATCTTTCTAGAATTATATTAACAGACTACAATAATAATATGGCTTCCTATATTTCTCAACCTCGTATAATATTATTTTATTCTAGCTTATTAGGCTTCGGGGTTATTGTTGTAAAGAAACATAGGGCACGTTCTTGTTTTTTGTTGTTGCTTGACAAGTTGTAATTGGGTTCCCTCAGTGGGACAGCGGTAAATCTTCGGATTTACAATGCTAAAATTAAGGGTTCGATTCTCCTCGGTGGACACAGCAGATACGTCGATGTGGCTTTGCTATAAATAAACACACAAACATACTTGTAATTTCAATTGTTCAGTTAGATCCTTTTGTTTATTAAACGTCTCGTACCAGTAGAATGCTTAGGTAGTTGAGCCGAAAATTTGTGGATTACAAAAACTAAAATAACGTGGTGATGGTCCAAATAAATTACTTAATACAAATATGACAGAGTATCTTGCTATTCGGTTAAGAACAGCCATTTAGGTGGTGGGTGCTGCTGACTGATTGTCCTCCCCTTGGTCAACAGTTCAAAATTAAGGATGTCTATGTCTGAGTCTCTAAATTGACCGTTTAACCCAGGTGTCGTATAAGGCTCCATTCAGTTGAAAACACCAAAATGTAAGATTATATTTCATGGTTTACTAAAGAAAACAAAAACAAGATTATGTAAGTTATCGAATGACAGTTAATATAACAAAAAAAAACAACACAAAAACATTAGAGTTTCTAATCAAAATAAATAAGATAACGAACTAAATAGTTCACAATTTAAATACTAGTATTTAAGTTGTTGTATGGAAAATGTAATGTGGAGTAGATTTCAAGAGACATCATAAGCCCTTCATTTTAAAACCAACTTTATTTGAAGACGTGATGATCTTTACAATGGTGCGTCACATTCCAAAAAAAAGTTGTTATTCATAATTATGTTTTTCACAACACAGATTATCATTCCTGTTGAAATTACGTATATTTTTGTCGTATAGATATACACGTATGCGGCAAGCTATTCTTCGGACATTATGTATACACGAGGCTAGGAAAGATGACCTATCAAAAAACTTAATTTTGTACATATGCTTTATTGCTTGAATATGAAATAAAAATAGCACTCATCAGCGATGCTTTTCTAATTGGTGGTCAATATTTAACGTGATATTAGATCTGTCAAAAGTGAACGTGATATTAGATCTGTCAAAAGTGAACGTGATATTAGATCTGTCAATATTTAACGTGATATTAGATCTGTCAAAAGTTAACGTGATATTAGATCTGTCAATATTCAGCGTGATAATAGGTCTGTCAATATTTAACGTGGTATTAGATCTGTCACTATTTAACGTGATATTAGATCTGTCAAAATTTTACGTGATAATAGATCTGTCAATATTTAACGTGATATTAGATCTGTCAATATTGAGCGTGATAATAGGTCTGTCAATATTTAACGTGATATTAGATCTGTCAATATTGAGCGTGATAATAGGTCTGTCAATATTTAACGTGATATTAGATCTGTCACTATTTAACGTGATATTAGATCTGTCAAAATTTTACGTGATAATAGATCTGTCAGTATTTAACGTGATATTAAATCTGTCAATATTGAGTGTGATAATAGGTCTGTCAATATTTAACGTGATATTAGATCTGTCAATATTGAGCGTGATAATAGGTCTGTCAATATTTAACGTGATATTAGATCTGCCAGTATTTGACGTGATAATAGATCTGTCAAAATCTAACGTGATAATAGATCTGTCAATATTTAACGTGATATTAGATCTGTAAATATTTAACGTGATATTAGATCTTGTCAATATTCAGCGTGATAATAGGTCTGTCAACATTTAACGTGATGATAGATCTGCCAGTATTTAACGTGATAATAGATCTGTCAACATTTAACGTGATAATAGATCTGTCAACATTTAACGTGATAATAGATCTGCCAATATTTAACGTGATAATATATCTCTAATCAGTTCACTAAAAAACTGCTTTTCTACCAATTTGCTATCATTCTATTTTTCTTTATAAATGGTATAAATATTTTAATGTTTTTATCTTTGGTTGGAAAGCAGTTGACTTGTGGCGACTGGCTAAGATCCCTCCAAATACCAGAGCCCCCACTGGCTCAGCGGTAAATCTGCAGGTTTGCTGCGCTAAAAATCGGGTTTCGATACACGTGATAGACAGTACACAGATAGCCCATTGTGTAGCTTTGTGTTTAACAACAACCGAATCAAACCCAAAAAACAAACACCAGCACATATTTATGGAATACTCCGCGTATTTTCATATACAAAGTAGTGTGATCACGTAAAGTGTCAGGTACGGGATTTAGTCTTAAAAATATAAATAGGCAGATGTAGTCATTCCAAGTTTAGTCCACAATATTATGGGTAAGAGTCGTGCTAGTACATACCTAAAAACATCGTTATCATTATTTGACCGGCTGCTATCATAATTTATAATGGTAGAAATAAACAATAAATATGTCTGCTACTAAACACATTTATGGCTACCAAACCAGTTGACATACCAAGAAAAAGACGAACGGTTGGGTCCGTAAGAAATAACAACCTAAGGCTATATCCCAATTGACCTATTCTTTCAATAGTTGTATCCCAGTTGACCGATATGCCTGTTCCAACCACATCAAGCGAAAAAAAACGCACATAAAAACTGTCGTATAGCAGCTTTTCTCAGTTGCGAACAGAAAGCACAGCTTCAGTGTTGTTTAAGCACAAGCTGTGAACATTGAAGTACATGATCTGATCTGATCAGAGGCGTTTAATCCTTTTTTGTGGTGATGGTAGAGTACAAAATTGTAAAGAAAAAAACAGGGGGGGGGGGCACTCAACCTTGCTGGTGTTGTTCCAGCAGTGCAAGCTGCTGAAGTTGGTGTAATGATGTGAGCAATTAATAAATAGCGTACACATGAATGGTGTTGAAAGACACATCGGCCCAATCATGGTTTAGTAGTTAGCGTATCGAACTGGGGATTCAAAGGTTTAGAGTTCGAGATATGGTGCTGTAAAACACGCTTCGGACTTCCAAATGTTGGTGCATTAAAAGAGTGGCAGTCAATCCCACAATTGGGTTAACAGTGGCCACTTTAGGTAGCGGGTGCTCCCGAATGCTATGCCTATACCACAAGAATATATGACCTGGCCGTTTTTAATTTATTGTGTGCATGAGGTGTCGTTCAGGTGAACTAACAAAATCCAATCATGTCCAGGCCAAAATGTTAAGCTTCCACTTTGTTGGACAAAGGCTCTTTCAGGACAATCCATCCTCTCGTATTGTCTGAAATGGAATCGAAGAGCATGACTTCATTCATATTCCTAGACCAGCAAAATCACCATATTCCGACCCGATCTGATTTAATCTTTGTAATGGACCAGAACATTCATATGTCACTGCAATCTGCTTGAGACGACTGTGAACCAACTGTAGACCATAATCCTCGACAAATTGTACCTTCAGGCTTATTACGGGGTCCATGTTACACTGAATCCCGGGAATCCAATTCTAGTTTAGAGTTCTAATGAAATGGGCAGACATTAAAGTTGTTTCGTTGAAAAATATTTTGCGGTTTAATTAATATTTTCAATCAATGGGACGGTTAAAGTTGAATTGACAAACGAGATATAATTTTGAGCGTAATTAGGGAAAGAAGTATTTGTGGTTGAAAGAAAATACAAAAAAGAAGAGAAATAGTTATGTTTAGTAACAAATGGAATTTAAAATTGTCTATTGAAGAAGTCTGACCATAACAACCATTATTCATTTAACTGAATAAGCCAAGGCTTGCTCTCCGAATCAGTTGATTTAACTAAGCAAAGAAAGTGTAACGCTAACAAATTCGAAGGCAACATTGAAGTTTTAAATAATCTTAATACATTCCACTAACGAAATTTACATAAAATGAACTGGTTTTTTTTCTGTGTGTTTTTTTAAGAATCCAACTAGTTTTGGAAACGCCATTCTTTTCTCTAAACAGTCATCAATATATCAATCTAACTTAGCTTAGTGTCTCTACTATTTATCAAATCAGTTGAAAACTATAAATATCTCAAAGCGTGTAAACATGTTAAGTCTTAAACGTCTACATTTATTGAAAATGAAAAGTGAAATAATACTCGTGGTATTAGGTGATTTTTCTCATAACTAGATACCTTACAATTGTATAGAAAGTTAAAGGACAAAAACTACAAATACAAACAATTAGCTCCTTAATGAATACATAAATAACATCAACATTAAATACTTGAAAAGTTCAAAATAATAAAACGGTGAAAAGTTTAAGTAATGACTTGAACGTTTTGTTGCAAAATTTATTTCAAAGATTTAGAAAAGTTGGGAAACATTTTTCGAAAAGAAAGACCAAAAGCGAAGTCATAATTCCAATGGCAAAGCATGAAAATACTCCTCGAAGATCGAAGAGAGTACGCTGACGAACACCAGATGGCTGTGTAACCACACAACGGGTATAATTTACTGTCAACATGTCGATCCACTTGCCGAAAAGATAATTTTCCACTGCTCCATCAATCCTATAAAGAATTAAAGATACCTTTAAATAATAATTTTATACCGTAGAAATAATGCTGTCTGAAAACCTAAATTTTATTGAGATTTATATATTTATTTATATCTTACCTTCTATACTTTTTTGCATAGAATTTTTAAAAGAATGATAATAATGAGGTAGTATAATTTAAACTACGATGTCATTTTGTTGTCTATGAAATTATTGACTTTTAGTAATTTAATAATTTGCTGCATTGTAGGTCCACATAACCCCTGGTTTTTAGGTTTTAAGTTCACGATTCGACTACACAAAACAGATGGTCCTATCGACAACTTGACCAGTTACCGGGACGGCAGGATTGGGGGAGGGTAATCATTTCTAAAACGTATTAGCGATTAGGAACATTAAGCTAAGACTGGTTTTTCAAATTGTGTGCCAGTTGTTAGGTAGGAGTGTCGCGAGAGTTTCTCCAAACGAAGAGTAATTAAGAACAAAAAAATTCTATAAAGAAAAACTGTCTTCGTAATTAATGATACCCTTCAAAACTATTGAGTAAAATAGTGAGAAATAACTATTATTATTATTGTTCTTCAATTAACATTTCTTTAACTTACATTCGTTTGAGTTTTTGTTGGAAGCAGGAAGGCAAGTGTTTTCCCATTGCAATGATGGATGTTTTCGGGAAAATCTCTTCCTTCCCGACATAAAAACCACAGAAGCCCTTTTCAGTATACCTCCGAGAGAGCTCCGTCTTGAGGGTAACCATTTGAAGTAGTGTGGCGTGTGTTCCTTCTGCAATGTTTTCTAGCATGTTCTCAGAAGTAATTTCGTTGAACGAATAAGTAGTGTGTGGGTTGTTTTCAACTGCTTTCCACAGACGTTTGTAAATCCCCTTTTCCGCTTTCTGCATACGAAACACACATGGTATATATATATATAATATAGATATTTGAAAATAGCCAACTCACTGTATCAGCAGTAAAACAAATGTTAACCTTTCTGAAGTATCTGTTCTGTTTGGAATACAAGAACAAAATTATTTTTGAAGTTAACTGCTTTGCCTTGCTATTGAAAATAAAATAAATTAAGTAAATGTGCAATTTGAATAATTTTTTGGGACCCCAATTTCGTATCCAGCTCTGCCAGTGAAAGTCTACTAGTAACAAATAGCTCTCAGTACATAATGGGCTTTTTTTTTTGAAGCTCTTGTAATGCACTTTAAATGTCTTACCTTAAACTTTTTGCGGGTTATTTTAAGAAAACTGCCCCTCCATCTTGAAAACGTGAAAAACACGCAAAAGTTTGCTAAAAACAAGCGAATCCCTGCGAGGATTTTCAGTAGCGTTCATTCTTCAAGAAAACTGTTGTAAGGCAGGAGAAGTGGATCTGAAGTGAGGAAGTGTAGCAGTTGAGTCGAGAAACTTGGGAGAAATAGCAAAGTAGTTGCGTCACTTTTTGTTTAAAGCAGCCCATTTCACAGTAGAGATGTGGTTAAGATTTCTACTCTTTGAACTTGGTACGCTTTATGCATTAAATATATTAATAATCTTGAATTTTGCTTCTATGGGAAACTATATTCTACATCAAGAAGTAGAAAATATAAACAATATTTTAATTATGAAATACTTCTCTAATTCAGGCTTAAGCACTTATTCTAACCTTAGTATATACCGGAAGTTAAATGATGCGAATCAGAAAAGGGCGGGAACTTAAACATCAGCAATATCTTTATTATCCGCATTGTAGCTGGATATTTTATTACTGTATATTTTGTTGTGGTATGAGTTTTGTTCAAAATCACCTATTTGCAACAGTAACGATATCTGGGTTATTCTATAAAATATTTTTATTTTTCAATATATGAGAAAGCATGACAAGTTTGGTTTGGATCAGTCAGTTGATTTGGGAGGAGATGCGTCCACAGACAGACGGAAAGTTTTCCTCTATATTGGATGCTTACCGTACAGGTATGGCGCATGTGAGAAGAACGACCTCTATACCCAACTCTGCCGATTGAAGCTGGATAAAGAAAATCTGTCCCTCAGATTTTAAGCAATATTTAAGTTATGCAATTACTCAATTCAACACTAAAAAGTTAAACTTCTTCTATTAAATATTTACAAGAAACTGGTCATTATTATTTTTATTTTGCTTCCTCTTTACAAAAGTCTAATAAATACCTTTAAGCAGATATGTTTCTATTTGTACTTGTTGTGAGTTGCTGTTAATGGCTAAGTTATAACGCTGAAAAATCATTTACAACATATCCACTAGGGAGCGCTACGCTTCTTGTGGAAAAGCTTAGCTTTAATACTACAGCTATGGAAAAGGCGATTTTACGAAGTAAACTTACTTTTATGGTGGCAGTAAAACTACTGTTATCTTCAAGCACAATGGTGATATTAGGATGTTGAAGTAGGTCCTGCAAAGTGTCGATCTTATTCATGGCTCTGTTACTGGTAAACATGGAGACCAACTTCCCACTGAAGCTACACATAACTACCAGACAGATCAACCACCAGATTCCTACTAACAATCTTAAAGATGATCTCACTGGCAAACGTGGCAGACCTAAAACAAACAATCCAGAGCTGTACTGGAAAAACTGAATTAAGACTGTCTCTTGTGTTATTATTAAGATTCTGTGAAAGCATGATTTATTAATTCTTCTGCTTGATGATTTCTCAACGTACTGAGTATAAAAGTGTATGTATTTTTATAAATAAACGTTGACCAAGGTGGCGGCTATCTTCATTTCTTTCTAACTACGTATTGTTCTAAGTCATTCAATAATGATGTCATATGCTCTCTTTTATGGGAAAGATTTTTGTAAGCTGAATGGTACGGTGTGAAAGTAGACAATGGTAGGTTAGGTGATACCTTAAGTTTACATGTTTTTCGATAGGAATGACATTTTCACAATTCAGTCATAGGTGGAAAAACTCTGCAGATTTATCCCGCAAAACATTTTCTGTTAGAACAGATTGTTATTCTACGGTACCTAATGATTCGGATATCAGTAAACTTGCGAATATCACGCACGCACGTGGATTACAACTAGCTCAAAAACTCCTAGGATTCAAGAAAAGCCATCCTCTAGAGGTAAGGCAGCTAACCAGCTACACCTGCTGCCACAAGAATTTTGTAAACATCAAAATTAAAAGTTTAAAGTATATTAATCAAAGTACAAAGCGAGTTTACAACTTACCGGCTCAACGGAAAATTTAAATGATTTTTATCAATAAGTGTGGTGTGTGTATGAAGTTAAGCACAATGGGCTATCTGTGCTCTGCTCACCACGGGTATCGAAACATACCGCTGTGCCAAAGGGGGGCGTTGCCAATCAGACAAAGGTGACTGGTAAACACCTTCTTCAATATTGAAATCGATTTTAATACGTTGTTTGCCGACGTGTGACGCTCCTGTGCATATCAGCATCTATCTTATTCTCATTATGTAAAAAACCTTACACATACAATGACATTTTACCGATCTTAAGATTGTTTAGAAAAATTAACATGGTTTGGTCATTTCTTTTGTAACTTGTTCTAGAAAATCACCTTTTTTATGGACGCTAATTTTCCTAAACAAAATAGTTACTTGAATAGAGTTGTTTAAACATTTGTTTAACAACAATTAAAAGCGTGGAATGGTCTATTCTTTCATTGGATGTGTGTCTGTGAGTCAGACTAGTTTTAGAGAATTCCACTCCTCATTAGTGACTCTGGACACTACCACCAATGAAACTTCAGACCAAACCAAGCCTTTACAGTAGTGCTACACGTTCTTCAAATACCTTTAGAATGATAGGTTTCTTTTTTGTGAGTGTAAAAGACTTAAATACACCAATTCGAAAGTAGATACTACCAGCTATTATAATTTAAGTTTTATATTACAAATGGCTTAAGGTGGTGTGTGGAGAATTGAAAGGTCCAAGGCTCGACCCGCAATATGCCGCTGAACATGTTCCCTATTTCTGAAAAGCTACGGGGGCGTTATAAAATGAAACCAATCCCACTATTTAGTTGATGTTGACTGATTATTCTCTATTTAGTCAATATTTTAAATTAGGGATGGCTAAGACTGAATCCTAGGGACTCTAATATAGCCGCATAGCCCATGTGACACATAAGGTTCCATTAAGGTTAAAATGACCAACTTTCATACAAATAGCTAGAAATGTGAAGATTGGTGACACAAATATTTTTAAATTCTTAGACAGCTTGTGACATTCCTGAATGCCACATGCTGTTAATTTTATTCTAAATTATGTTGAAATTTGCAAAATATGTCGAATCCAAAACGTTTGTGCATATTTTTATTCCAGAAAGACATAAAGTAATATCTTGCAGAAAACTGGACTCACAACAATAGATGTAACATTAAATTTCAAAATATCTTACTTGTTTTTGTTTCTAGTAGTCTCAGCGTGTAGCAACCACAACGTGTAGTCTGAAAACTAAAGAACAATCGCAGTTTCTGTAAAATGTCTACATTATTCTCAGTTGCACTGGTTTCTCACAGGTAAGAATAGCACTCTATCTAACTAGAGTCATATTACAACCCATAAACGTGTTAAAAGATTTATCATTGAATATGGCCATTTATCTAAAACTATAAAACAATGTGTATCTGTCTGTCTGTTGGTAACGCACTGATGTCATAGCAACTTATTACGTAATATAAGTAGTTTGGCTTCCTGTCAATTAAAAGCGAGTAATCAACGACTGATCGAAAATTGAAGATACATTTGGACTAAAACATACAAAAAATTGCACCTTTTTCGCAATTTGAAAACTTATCTTCGTTAAATCGTCGAGTTACGCCAGAAAAGACGTAAATATACTTTAGTAGACATTTTATACAATATATCAAAAGCTTATCAACGTTTTAAAAAGGTCTACCGTTAGGTCGTAGAATAATATTAGAAGATTATTTATTGATAGTATTAAGTGCGGTAAGGTTTAGTCCTAACTGAACTAAAAGCAGGAAACGTACACAAGTTACAGTATTAATTTATCTCTTTATCGAATATAGACCGTAGGCTTAATTAATGTTAGGACTAAGGCAAGTGGACTTACAGATTTCAGTGTCTGCTATTAGAATTCTTTTGTATTACTCTAGAAATCCTGTATTTAAAGATTCTAATTTGGCCGCAAATGTTTTGCGAGTCTCTGCTAGTTTGTAATAATACACACTAAAGCGTGAAAAGTACACAAATATTAGATTATTTCACATGTCGATATGATTTCACATCAAAATAGAAAGAAAAAAATTTCCCAGTTGTAAACTATAAACCCAAAAGATGTCATAAAGTGTGCGGTTAAATAGGAGGCTTAATATGTGCTATCTAAGCAGTCACCAGAGGGCGTAGTTCAAATTTCATTACACTTATGCAGGTTTGGTTTGTTTTGAATTTCGTGCAAAGCTACACGAGAGCTATCTGCGCTAGCCGTCCCTATTTAGCAGTGAAAGACTAAAGGGAAGGCAGCTAGTCATCATCACCCTCCGCCAACTCTTGGGCTACTCTTTTACCAAGGAATAGTGGGATTGATCGTCACATTGTAACGCCCCATGGCCGAAAGGGCGAGCATGATTGGTAGGATGGGGGTTCAAACCCACAAACCTCACATTGTGAGTCAAGCGTCACAGATCTATTATCCTTCCTTGTCACTTCCAAAAGTTTGTTATTTTTATAAAGTATTTATTAAAACTATATATAGCTTATCCTCTGCTTTAATCATTCTTAAGGCATGTTTTTTTTAATATAAATTCTAACCTTGAATTAGAAAGCAGGTGAAGTATGTCCAAAAATGTTGAAAAAATCTGTAAATCATACATTGGTGACGTATTTCTGATTCTGGAAGCATGAGTTGGAGAACAAATGAAATTCCAGACACAAGCAGAATGCTCAGTCCCAAAAAGAGCCATACCTAAAGAAAACAAAATACAGCTTAGTACATAGAAGTACGTGGAAAGAAAGCATGAAGATACTTGTAAGTATTCCAAAGAAGAGTTATAAACTTTTGGAAGACTTTGATGACAATGGTATATCCAGATTTTTGGCCAGAGATGTCCAACATTTTAAAAAAGCTTTAAAGTGTATGCTACTATTTCAAATAAAATTTGATGTGACTTAAACACGCGTGTAACACTTAGCCTGTAAGCGTAGCCAAGCCCACATACACGTGGTTTTTCATTGCAATCAGAGAAGTCTAACTCTAGCTCTGGTCGATGCCACTCGTGACTGGCTAAGAGGCAGGCGAGACAGATATGGCAAGTATTGCTGAAAGTAATGATCAGTAAAGCAATGGTGAGCCTTTCTGTAATGGGAAGTCTATGACGGCCACGGTTGATTGAGAAGCCTGCAGTAGAACAGAGTCAATGGATGAGATACCTCCAGTAACTTGTCATTTTGCAAATCAGGGGTAGGGGTTTCTCTATTAGCCTATGTCACCATACGTCGAAGCTTAGGAGGTGTTAACATGGCGTTTGGCTGAGAGTCATTGAATGAGGTGTTGATACTAAAACAACAAGTAGCTGTGATAGAGGCAAAACAAATCACAATTCCAGTGATAAAGGTTGTGGCAACAGAAAACTTGAAATATTTTTCAACATATAAGGTAAATTACTACCTGGAATGGCTGCATTTGGGAACAGACAATACAATGCCTGTCCTCAGTCCGAATAGTCCCTTGAAACTATCGAGAACTTGAGTTTTGCCAACATTTTGATCAGGTGGACAACCAAGTTGTTCATGAGGCTGAGTTCGAGGCTTGAAAAGAGGGTTTCTATGAGAACTTATGTGTTTAGATGGATGATATGTTCCAATTTCATGCTTCAGCAGATTTCAAACACAACCTCGTAATCATTTTCATCGAAGGACAACCTAGTGAGATGATGAGGCATCACTTGAGTATGAGAGATATTCTCATCCTAACAGAAGCAATTTCTGTGATGATGAGGTTTCAACTTGTGACTTAAAACAGGTCATAAAAGAGGAATATAACTGTTGTGGACGTGTCTTGGACATAACATCATACTCGAGTAAGCACTTCATGCAAAGCTAGAGAATTGCTGTGGGCAAACCGGCAGTCAATGCAACCCTATGCTACAACATAACCCTATTTCTTCCAGTGAACGTGAATGGGCAGGGCTTTCCTAATCTTTCCATGATCTTTGTGCCACAGCTTATGTTGATAGAGCCTCTACTTAAATACCACTCTAAAAAGGAGAAACAAAGCATCTGCAATGAGTGTGGACTGCAAGGTCACTTCAAAGTGAACTGCCTATATCTATGCGACAAGGTGGGCGAGGTAACTAGTTATAACCAACTGCATGGCAGCTACAAAGGATCGGGAACTAATGGAGTCTGAGTCAAGCTTGGCCACCAACTTGGAGAAGTGTAGAAGACAACTTGTACTGAAACCTTAAGTAACAGCTCAGCTCTCTCGGGACTGGGCGGTGATTGATATGTCCCTATAGAGATAAAGAGGCAAGAAATGATGTTTCTGGTTGATACACGAGCTGCCAGGAGACTAGATGATCCCACTGTCTATCAAGCATTGTTGTCAATTAATACTGACTTTATTCTGATAAATAATGATAGACCAGACGTGACTAGAGAGGCATATCTTCATCTAATTTAGGTAATATAAATCACAAACCAAATTAATCATCACTGACCTAGGTTGTAGCATTTGTATCTTCAGGATGGATGCACTATTGAAATTATTGGACAGTTTCATCTGTGCAACAGGTGATTTGCGTTTTTATTGTAAAACCATCTTATACAGGCTAGACCATGCCCAGGTACAATAGACTACACGACTGAATGCTGTAGAGAGAGTCACAGTACCTCCATGTACACAAATAATGTTCCATGGTTTACTATACACGAAATCTAGTGCAGTAGCACCATGTAATGCAGTTATAGAGTCAATGCATGGAATGCAGTTTTCTTCCCAGAAATCAGGTAGTATTTCCTAATACAGTGAGTGATCTGTCCAAGGAATGGTGAAGTTCCAGCATTGTTCTGTAATTATGGGAAACTAGCTGTCCAGTTTCCTGGAGGAATGGTCATTGAAACGACAAGTAAAATGGTGGTAACCAAAATTAGTGATATCACCAGTGTTACTTCAGTCGTGCCACATCTGAAAGTAAGCAACACTCGGTTTACAACACTTCTAAAGTCAGCAATTGGGGATTTTGCAAGTAATCTTGATTCATTACAATAGCAGAAGCTCAGTGACTTGTTGATTGATTATGCCAATATATTTGTGGGACCAGAAATCAGATTGAATCAAACAAAAATAGCTTACCGTCACATAAATATGGGCAATACTTATCCAAATAAAGAACCACCACTCAGGCTTCTCTGGAGCAGTATATATTTTCTAGCACTGAAATACAGAACAGAATACGTTAAAAGACAGAATCATAAATCCTTCAGAGATGTGTAATCATCTTCAGCAGTGACTGTCAGGAAGAAGGAGGGTTGTGCTGATTTCAGATTGGTGAACGCAGTAACTCACATTGACATCTTTCCACTTCCATGAACAGACACATTTGAACATGCACAATGGTTCAACACTTTAAACCTGGAAAATATTGGCAAGTCAAACTAGATGACGAAAGTAGACTTAGAATTGCTTTCAGCACTCGAGATGGTGTTTACAGATTTCATGTCATATCATTTGGTCTGTGTAATATACCTGCCACTTTCACTAGGCTAATGGAGCTAACTCTAAAGAGGCTGCAATGGGAGAGATGCTTGGTCTGTGTCAACATTGTCTTGGTGTTTGGCCACATGTTTGAATCAGCTGCCAAGAGCCTGTGCATGGTACTGCAGCAGAAAAGAGTGACAGGGAAGAGATGGAGTCTTTATGGATTCTGCAAAGATTGCAGTTGTTCAAGACTGGTCTCAACCCATGACCAAACAAGAAATCCAAACTTTTCTCTGTTTGTGTCACATTACCAATACTTTATGTCCAACTTCCCCAAGATCACGTAATCATGATCTGTTCTCACTCAACTGATACGCATTTTGGATAAAATATTTTAATTCAAGCTGCAGTGTTGGTGTATCGAGAACAATACTGGGATTTTGCTGAATACTGGTTTCAGTGAGAGTGGAATTGGAGCAGTGTTACCACATTCGCAGGATGGAGTGAAACATGTGATAGCATATGCTAGTCATACGCTCATGGCTTCTGATTGGCGATACAGCATGATGAAGAAAGAACTGCTTGCAGTTATGGTCGTCGTCAAATACTACCAACACTATCTGTACGGCAGAAAGCTCGCTCTTTAAGTGGACCATGCATCACTGAAATGGCTTATAAACATACAAGTTCAAAAAAATATAATCATGAAACTAAGGTTCTTAATATTTTGTTAAAGTTGGACTGAAGGTCAAGGTCACATTAAACAATATTTTAACTTATCCATGTTTTATTTATTAAGCCAAAAATTATACACTTAATTACTCAGTTTTATTTTCATCAATTTACATATTAATATTGTTTAATAATATATCAACTCAGAAGAGAAATTGAAAACACTTTAATCAGAAGAAAACATACAATAACTATATTTACTCCGTACCTTTAATATCGCTAAAAATTATGGCAAATACTACAGTACTTTTATTGTTATAACATTGTTGGTTAGAACTTGTACTATGTTATTAGAATATTTCTAAGCCTAAGAACCTTATTGTGTCATTTATATTATTTAACGAGGTGATATTCCAAATAATTCAGTCATTATATTCTGCCTACTGTATATCCGATTGCTGCATTATCGCCTGGATGTACTCAATGTGAAAACGCGACAAACCAAAACAAGTAGTCTCAATGCATCGTGAGAGAGAATCGTAAATTTTAGTCGTCCCATATTTTGTTGTTAAAAGTATCCTTGTTTTCTAACATAGATTTCATACTGTCTGCTTATCTTTGAAGTAAACCAGTGTTGTTTTTTTTATAAACTTAACAGATTCATTAACATCCATTTTGTAAACAATAATATCGGAAATCGACAACAGATGTTGTGATTGTTTAAAATCTACAGTTCTATAGTTTTCGTTGGTCACCTGTTACAGAGGGTAGTTTGTTTGTAATTAAGCACAAAGCTACACAATGGACTATCTGTGCTCTGCCCACCACGCCTATCGAAACCCGGTTTCTAGGGTTGTAAGTGAGCAGACATACCGCTGTGCCACTGGGGGCACAGAGGGTAGTTGACGCGTTTTTTGTTTTTTATTTTCATTTAGTACATCCAACCCTTGTAGTGCAATAGAGGACACTGAGTTATGCGAGTTGGTTTGTAAAGGAAAAATATATTAAGTTCTGGAGAGTGGGATATTGGAGACAAGATTCAAACGACAACCTCTATGTCATGGGTGTGCCCAGCCAGTCGATCACAGAAATGGCCACACTATTAATAAAACTAAAATTTTTGCTAAATAAATTTATTTCAGGATTCTAATAACAGTCAAGGTCAATTATAAACGCAACACAAAAGTACAAAAAATACTTTTTCAAAATTACACAAGCGTGAAATTTCAATGAGAGATTTAGCATTATTTTTCTTTGACCAGCTAAAAAACACACTCTCGATGATTCTACGAGTTGGCCACACATGGATATTGGTCAATGGGCTGCCCACACAGGCTCTACGTCATCCCAGTTGTCTTTGAATATTGATAAAGATCAACAGAATAGCATGGTGAACGAACGGGCCCACGGATGTGACATCGGTGGCCAACTCCGATCATTAACCCCACTTTGATATTCCCGTGGAGATCTAAGTTTGGTTAAAAATGGTAAAAAACTGTACATGTAAAAGGCAAGCAACCAGACAGACAGACAGCGGTCTTTGGAGGTACCATGGGGGATCATAACCAAATGCTGACACCTCTTTTACTCTTTCCGTGGGCCTTACGGGGTCACGTTAAATTTGGTTGAGATTGATCGAAAACCATAAACATGTAAAGGTGGACACATAGACAATACTTCTGTTTTATATACAGATACTTTTAGAGTAGTATATGATATTGGTTCCTTTCAAAATTCTGGTTAAATTAAAACTGAGAATCGTGGGGCATTAAAATTGAAAACTATCAAGCTATGTTATTCAACGTACTTCGACTTGAAAAGCTTTGAAAAAACTAAATAGGTCAGAACGTTCAACTGGATTACTGGTTAATATATGCATAGGTCCAGTCATAATTGGATTGGTGAAGTCGGCTATTTCAAACCTGCTTTGCGTTGCCGAAACTGGAGTCAATACAAAATCAACTTCCTGTATTTGAAAAATAAAATAAAATTGACACATGTAATTTAACATAATTTAAAACTGCTAAAATAAAATAAAAAGGTAGGATAATTGCACACATTCATAGAGAAGTGTAATTTTGATATACATTCTTTGTTTTTTTATCAATAAAAAAATAATTCTAATTAGAAAGTACCGTTTTATAATTTGTAAGAGAAATTGAAATACTTAAAATATATTTTAAAAATTTAAGATTTGAAATACTAATTTTTATACTAATAAACTTAACTAATTTCAGTAAGTCTTAAAAACAAATGCATATGTCATTTTAGAAACCATCTTTGCCAGTGTAAATATTTTATTGATGTAAGGTTAATTCAACTTAGAAGTATCAAATAACACATTTGACTACTTTGCAACAATAATAAATTATTTAATTGTACCGTGTTACAGATTAATATCGAATCCTTTGAAAATCTCTGACTTGCATATATGTCTATATAAGCTTCTTAAAATAATTAAAGCATAATGAGAGTTTTATTCATTAATTTTAAGCGGGTCACGTTGAAGAACGACTTGCATTAGTGTCCAAATTATCATTCGCCTTATTGACAACCGTTTTCTGATCATTTACTAAGCTACAAAGTCTGCAGTATCAAATAAGCAGTTACAAACGTGAACTACAATATCATATTGTGAAACCCATTACTTGACATTTGCTTTGCATATATGTTATTATTTTGAGTATATATCGAATCGACGCACCTGTCGTATGGTTTGATTTACTGCATTACGAACAAAATGTATGAAAGAGTTTCAAACTTGAAATATACTTTCTACAGATTATCGCTTCTTCTTATAAAATATCTTTTTCTTTACATGCTATATTGTCATGAATTTGCAGCTTTGATATTGCGAAAATATTTCATTGAGATATGTTTTTAAGAAACACTTTAAAATGCTTACTTCTGTTATAGATTTTCGTTAATGATTTTCGTCTTCCAAGATTATTTTAAAACTTTCATGTAACATTTTTGTTCTATAAAACTCTAAGTTCTATTCTTGATTAGAAAACACCGCACGCAACTTCAATGTGTTTACGATCACTGGCGTGTAGTGAAAATAACTTTTTACTGTAGCAAAATCGTAAGTAAGTAGACTAAAATTTTAACCAGAAAGTTTAATTTTATAATTGTAATAAGTTTTAACATTTATTTTCGGTGATTTTCTGAATCTATTTAAGCAGTTACTTAGGCCGATAAAGCTTAATGTAAATAAACCCTAATACAGCGGCCTTGTTAGCAAAATAAAACTATATATCTTCGAGTGCAAAATGGCTTACATAAGCCTACTTCATCTTTTTTCACGAAAACATTTTTGCAACATCAAAAGTCAAATTAAGCTTACAAGTTCAAATCAGGAATATTTTAGTCCAAATAAAATAGAAAAGCAAGCTTTAAAAACATTACTGTAATTGTCGCGAAAGCTGTTTATATATATATTTTTTCTTCTAGCAACATATGACCAAGCTAAGCTTTTATCACGTGGTTGTAATCTCTACAATAATTTCTACTGAATTGCAGCTTATATTGGAAATAATAGAAAGAGTTTTCATTACATGTTTTAATCACTAACCTATGACTCCTTGAAGCTGATATAGATAATTAATTACATCACACCATAACAATCTAAGTACAAAAACAGTGATTGGCTAAAATTCTAAAACTACGCTTATATTTAAGTTTACAAGTTCAAATTAGGGCTATTTTGTTCAAGTCTAATACAACTTTCTTCCTTTGTGATTTGTCTTTAATTTTATGAATAAAAATTAGAAAAATAAAACATTTTAGTTAAATTAATTTTAACTTTTGAGTTTTTTTCTTCTTTTAATGTATGGAAGAACGACTGCAAAGTTATTTTCAAGGATTTTGTTAAATTCACTGGTGCTGGCTAAATGTACCTATCGGGGCATGATATATTCATATCTTATATATTATAGATACAGATGTTCTACTATTAAATGAAGTTATAGTTCAGTGCATTACAAAATGCTTGAAATGTTTACTTTTCTAATCAACATTCC